CAGTCAAAAAATTATAGCTACATGAACATGATATCAACTAACTTTAACACAAGCATCCGTGACAACAAGACGCACCTAAAAGTGTTCAAATTAAGTTGTTAGTACTTGTACTTTACTGTAAATATCAATAAATGACTTTAAAATACACAAATCCTGATATACAAGGGAGTGGTGACCCTGTCCCGTCCAACAAAGATCAGGAACTGGTTCGTCACTACAAGACGCACCTAAAAGTGTTCAAATTAAGTAGGTAATACTTGTACTTTACGGTATATATCCATTAATCCCATTAAAATACACAAATCCAGATATACAAGGGAGTGGTGACCCTGTCCCGTCCAACAAAGATCAGGAACTGGTCTGTCACTACAAGACGCACCTAAAAGTGTTCAAATTTACTAGTACTTTATCGTAAATATCAATAAATGACTTTACCGTTTTAGGTTGTAGACATTGATCCATTCAGTTACTCCTGGCTCACAAGGATGAATTACAATAGCATCATATATCTACATGTACACACAGTATGTTATACAGTTGTATCAATTAAAGATGAAAAATTACTTAATGATCATGTACATGTACATTGTACATCATGTAAATGCAAATTTCTGGAATTCAAGAAACAAATTACATACCGTACATTTGAAATGAAGAACTACACATCCTGTATGCACATGTACATGTACATAGGTATCAAGCAGGCTTAAATAATTATTTGAGTGTGGTCAAATGCTTAAATAGTACTACAATAGAGTACTCGTACTCATACTCAATACAATTTGCAAAAATGAGGGACTTGTACTTGTACTCATTTTAAAATTTTAACAGGTACATGTAATGTACTTAAATACTTCTTAGAGTACATGTACTTTGCCCCAAGCCAGGTAGCAAGTAGAAATTTAGGCAAAAAAATTTTACCAATAAACCAAACCTTAACTTAAGATGTTGGCATGGTAAAACATTTGTAAAAAATTATTAATTTCCGAACCTTCATTTTTAAAAAGCAACTTGCCCAAATTATCTATTCCAATCTACATGCATCTACTATGTACGACATACATGTTACATGTAGCTACACAATATATCATCATTACCTGCCACGAGTCTCTGTGAACAACAAGAGCTAGTAAGAAGTCTGCAATTAAGTCAATGAGAATGGACTGGAAGACCTAAATAGATCAGTCAACTCCTTTATCTCAATAATAGTGTGAATCAATCATACCTTTAATGTACCATCAACTGTAACGGCTATCTCTGCATCTGTAATGTGAGTAAGAAAGAGGAGACAAAAGTGTTAAAAGTGTAAAAACAAACCCAATTTATGGCCTATTAATATTAAATTAGTGTCATGTCTTCAGAAGAATTACTGTACGTGTTATCATTTTGAAAAATGTGATGTAGTATTAACACAACATACAAAACTACATATTACATGTACATATATGTCTTGGTGTAGCCATTGACAAAAGGTCTCAGAAAAGCTGATAAACATAATTGTAGTCTGATCAAAATTACATGAATGCAGTAGAAAATAGACAAAAAATATTAAAAGTACTAATTATTAAATTGGGTACCTCTAACCACAGAATAGAGGCCCAACATGTACATGTATGTCTGTCTGTCAGCAGTTAATCAACAGAACAGGTGACTGTATAAAACGTGCATTGTTTTACAAGTATACACTACAAACAATGTTGGCTACACAATTAATCACATTAAAAATTTCATAGATGTACATGTGTATAGCAAATAAATTATAATAATTGCAAATAACAATTTCACTTTTTTGTTATAAAAAAATAATAATAGATTGCACACACTCTTAGGAAAACCTCAGACATTGAGTTGAGGTTGTACAAATTAACATTACAGTCATTTAGTTTATCATTACTAGCTTTCAAATAAGAATAAGACATGAACAAGAAAAACACACAAAAAGACAGAAATAAAACAGAGAGCATTCATGAAGGTGAGAGATAAGGGCCCTGGGTAGACCTTATCTTGCAAAATAAAGGGCAACTATTGCTATAGAACTTCGCAGTTTCATGAGATGGCAAAGTATAGTGTACCTAGATAAAACAAGTGCCACAAAATGGGTGGTGCCAATCATTAATAGAACTTTTACTCAGTAAGCTTAAACTTTAAATGTAACAATTTTCTGAAACACACACACTCTCTTTTGCCCTGATATTATTTTGAGCTATTGGTACTAGCTGCATACTTCATTCTACACAGCTCGAGACATACACTTACTCACTGCTAGCATAAAAGAACTTACTATTACGTGTAGCTGTTTCTCTTCTTACAGCTCTAGTATCACCATCAGTTGCTTCTCCTAGTAACAATAGATACACTTACTGCTAGCGTAAAGAACTTACTATTACGTGTAGCTGTTCCTCTTCTTACAGCTCTAGTATCACCATCAGTTACTTCTCCTAGTAACAATAGATACACTTACTGCTAGCATAAAAGAACTCACTATTATGTGTAGCTGTTCCTCTTCCTACAGGTCTTGTCTCACCATCAGTTGCTTCTCCTAGTAACAATAGATACAGTTGTAGTGAACTCATGACATCACATCTCATGCATATTCTTGATATCTCTTAATATATATTGCATGTTGTGTTTTAAAATTGATCAGTGTTTGGGTGTCAAGTCAACTCGAGGTAAATGTGAGCGCTCTATGGCAAGCAGCATATCTGCTTCCCTATCACTAGCTGCAACACACATATACTCATACGCTAAATTGGTGACCCGGACGGCCCTGTCCACTCACTGCTGCTAAAAAAGTGTGCTAAAAAAGTAATTTTTGCTGCTAAAAAAGTAATTTTTGCTGCTAAAAAAGTAACAAAACGCAAACCTAAAGCAGTAAAGACAATAGCCAATTATTTATGACCATGTGGATGTTACTATTAAAATAACAAAATTTGTAGTTCGTATCGCCAGATAGTTAAGATAAATCTGTGAATTAAAAGTACAAAAATAAACCCAATTTAAGCACTATTAATATTAATTTGATCAAAGAATATGTTGTAATGTCTTACAAGAGTTACTAAATGTCATTTTATAATTATGTAATGTAGTAAATTTACAATTAACCTAATAAACTATATACTATATCTTGGTATAGTCATTGACAAAAGGTCTCAGAAAGCTCAAAAACTAAAACTATCCAAATTGTAAACTAATTTTCAAAAATGAAAATTACATGAATGTATTAGAACAAAGCCACAAAATATTAAAGAGTACAAATTTTTACGTTGAGTACTCTCTAACTACAGTAGTGGCCCTACTTGTACATGTATGCCTGAACACATTAATTAACTCATGCAAAAGAAGTGGTGACTGCGTAAAACATGTATTGTTTCACAAGTATACACTTTCAGTCAGAGATTGACTACACAATACGGATCTGATTTATCACAGCAATTTACATTAAAAATTAAATATAACATGAATTAATAATTGCATAGTATTAAGAAAACAATTTTTTGTGATAAAAATATTAATAATAGATGTGACAGTGCACACGATTTTAGAAAGACCTTAGACTTTGCTTTGACGTTTTAAAAATTAACATTACTTTTACTGCAATTGAGCAAAGCCCACTAAGACGAGAAAGATGTTGTCTGTACGGGGATAGGGTCGTCCAACTAATACTAAAGTTAAGTAGCCTAATCTTCATTAAAAGTGGGTGTGGTCACAAAGAATTAAAATGGCGGCTTTCAGCAAGTCTGGGCTTATTTGCAGCAAATGCTCAGCAAGATTAGACTAAACTGAGTCCAAATACTTCGCTAGCAGTAAGATGGGTCATAAAGCACAACAATAGAGTGGCTCAGGAGCTGAGCCCTTTAATGTTTTACATTCTTCTACTTTGGTTTATCATTACTAGCTTTTGAAAAAGAATAACACATAAAGCTCCAATTTCATAATAATTACTTGTTGATTTGTGCATAAAATAAGACCAAATGAGAGTTTAATTTTAGCTGATGAAAATTAAACAGACATAACACAGAAAGAACAAAAATACACAAAAAAGAAAGAGAGAAATAAAACAGATTAATGAACTATAAGGATTATATGAAGTCAAGGACTGTAGGAGAAGATATGTACATGTACATGTAACCAAACACTCATCTTTATTACAATGGTACATACAACACAATCACACAATGGTACATACAACGGTACTCTCAAACATCACACACATACCACCACATTTACAAAATACAGAAAAACAAAAAAAAAGCAAAAATTATTAATCATAAGTACAAGTCAACAACGAGAAATAAAAGGCAGTTATTAGAGTAGGCCACGTTAATGTAAAATGTACTAATTCAATATCAATCATCACAAAGTGTTGTCTGCTACAACATTTCTCTAAAGAATATTGTGTGCCACGACTGGTATCACCTGCATGTGTGTGTTACAGTAACTGTATTAAATGCAAGGTGTGAGAATGGCAGGAGTGTTATTAAAACTGAAAATAACTAACAATCTTGTACATGTACATGTAGAAGCAGAATCTATAAATGTACATGCATACTTTAATCATTACCAGTTACTACTAACTCACAGTTAATGATGACTTTGCACTGCTAAACGATTAGATGATGTAACATTCAAATAACTGGCAAGGAAATTTAGGCAACCTACAGTAGATAAGGGAGGAGCATAAGTGTACATGTTCAAATCAGAGTAGACTCAGAACAACTCATTTCCACCAAAATATGTCGCCATATAATGTGTATGGTAATAATAAATGTAAATTTTAGTTAAAATCGACTGACATGTAGGCTATTTCAAAGTTAACTATGTACATGTACAAGAATATTAAAGATAGGGTAATACAGATAGGATTTACCAGTATGAGTAGTGACAGCAAATAAATTGATCACTATTAGAAAAGGCTCTAGAATGATCTATTTATTCATGCAAGTTGCAAATGCAAGCCTGTGTCACTACATATTGTCATAATAGTGTTGAATAAAGTGAGAAGTATTGTATATAGTGTGAGTGCAAGTGCATGCCACTAAAATAAACTAAGTGTCATAGTGTGAATGAACAGCAAAATTTATTTCAGGCTAAATGAGATAAATTTCATCAAAATTATAATAATTAGAAAATGATGGATTCAACAAAGTTTGACTAAAAGGCATATTAAATGTATACATGTAGACACCATGGAATGCATGTGATTATTAAGTCACAGCTTAGGCAAGCCTTGTATGACTTGTTGGATTAATTCATTTATTTATTTTGAGCATTAGGGTGCATAGCATACACATGCAAGGTAAAAGATGTAGGACATGTACACTTAAGGGCGTGAGTGGAGGGAAAACAATTATATAATAGAATCAAGCTGACTTGTATCTGCAAAAGCATTGCACAGCTGAAAGCTGTACCATGCCATAGTCAGCCTTGTCCTTTAATTTATATCACACATAAAATTACATGCCATATTCAATAATTTTACTACGTAAAAATTAGATCACAAAATTTTGAAACCTAAATTTCTACCACATTAATTTCATACTATGGTGACGGCATTAACATAAATTTTTGAGTGTGCAATATTGGTACCTGTAATATCTGATACAGTAGTATGTATAACTATATACAAAGATCAAGTGTTTACAATAATTAGCTCAGGCTACTGATATTCGCATCATGTGTGAATTTGGGTGTTTACAAGTAGTTACACTTGGCATTGCTATTAATTTTTTCTTTTTCGAAACAATAATTATTTATAATTTATGAAGACAACATATGAACAAGATAATTTTGGTAATTAACCATTGGCAATAGTTAGCCAAATACACTTACTGTCTGATCATAAGAGACTTGCTTCTCAGTGATATACCTCACGTTTTTT